AACCTTTGGCATGGTATCTTCTTCCGTCTTCCGGCCTTGGAATTTCAATTGGCAGCAAGTCCCTAAACCCTAAACCCTAAACCCTAAACCCGATTCTAGCTGCTGAGCACTGTGCACTGGGACCTACGAGCTGCAAGTGCAACAAAGGTAAACACCATGACATGAAACAGCAACCATAGATGATAAGGGTTTAGGGTTTAGGGTTTAGGGTTTAGGGTAAGCCTTTAAAAATCTGTCGAATGTCACGAGTGAGGTCGTACATAGCTGCGTAGCCTTCTGAGCATGTCCTCACCCGTAATGGGGCGCTCCTCCTTTAAACTAGTCGGGGGATTCTTAAACCCGATAAGAAGTCCAGTCAAGGGTGGTTTGGGTTCCTTGGGCATACCCTCAGACCCCAACACTGGGCCCAAAACCCTAAAATGCCACTGTGACCAAACAACTGGGTCGCTGGCAGGCAGATTCACCCAAATCTGGCCGCTGTCGGTTCCTTGGCCCGGACTTGAGAAGGCGGGACAAGTAAATTCATGGCTACGAAGCTTCTTTGGACGTTGCAAGTCGGGCTGGCACTGCCTGCAGTAGGCCATGGTCTATAGCAGGCATTGTACCGTACCTATGAAAACTATCCATGAACCTCCAAAGAGGTCTAGGACGTCGAGCTTTGAAAGGGTACATTACTGTGTAGAAAGGCTGTAAGTCAGGCAACTCTGCACGTAACTAGGTTGCTTAGTTGCTACAACATCCGCAAAAAAAGATTCAAAACTCAATTTTTGCCCTGACAAACCTTAGCTGTGCCTTTCTGGCCACCGGGAGTTCAGAACACCAGGTACTTCGTAGTCGATTTTTCTATTGAAGCTTCTGCTACTTGCATTCTTACTAGGGTCCCCTCTTTTACGAAACTCACTTGTAGTCCTCAAATACTCAGGGGTCTGGGTCGGCCTGCAGGGAACTGGGAACGTTAAATCCAAAACATTCCAAAACGCTAAACCCGAAGCCTTATAAGACATTGAACTGGCTCTCGACCCTCACTCCTGAATCATCAACCCTAAGCCCCAAGCCCTACAGTCTTAACCCTTAGCTTCAGCCGCCGGTGCTTCGGTACCCTGTAGAGACATAGGGGCCACAAAAAAGAGGACGTATTTGTAGGGCTTCATAGTGTCGGTTCTTAACCTAATAGGACCTCAATGGGTTTTTTGTAGGGGTTAGCACACCAGTCTGTAATCAGTAGAGTAGGGTATGGGGCATACCATTTGTAAAACTATGCACAACAACATGAAATGTGGACCTCCTTCATCATAGCCACACCTCTATATTGAGAGCTTCCCTGCCTGGCCTAGCGAGAAAGTGGGCAGGATACGACCACCCTCGAAATCTCAAGCCGCTAAATCCCTAAGCCTAAACTGGGGGCGGGAGGGGGGCCTATCCAAAACTAAAACTAAAAACATGCATAACACCCTGTAAAGGGAACTGGCAAATCCCTACAACAACCCAAGAATAAGACCGCCAAAACCCTGTAGAGGATTGAGCATTTGCTTCGAATATTGCGTCGAAGCGCGGACGGCACAATCATGCCGGTTTAGAGGGTCGAAGCCACACCTCTGAGACCAGAGCGGGATTGGGTCAGGGTTGCGAGACTTCGTAAGACGGGATCCCTTTCCGAGTGCACATGAGGGTCAGTGTTGAGGCTTAGGGTTTGGCGCTGAGGTAAGACTGAGGGATAAGGGCCAAGCTTTGTAGGGTGTGGGGGTTTAGGTTGAATCGAAAGTCTAGGGTTTAGGGACTACGGACGAGTTTAGGGTCAAGGTTTAGGGTTTGGGTTTGGGGGTGCAAGTTTCAAAATTTACCGTCTTGACCGATTTTGGCTCGGGGCTCAGGTGTGACCCGAGTGTGACTGACAGGGTGCACAAGGTTCAGGATTGAGATCTTAGAGGCTAGGGTCGGAGGAATGTACCCGCACATCGTTTCCAAATAAACCATTAATCATACTCGTGGACCCTATAATGACCCTATGGAAAAATGCTATGCTGATCGTTTGGCAGACAAGCCCTACTTCAAGTCCAGGCCAACAGCCTAAACCCCGAACCCTCAACCATCCAAAACCGCACAATCGCAAGTAAAAGCCCGCGATTCATATCATCCGGCTACTGATCCCGCCCCAACCCCACAAAACCGCAAAGCGAAGTTCGAGCCCCAGATATGTCAGTAATCCTATCTCTAGTGACAAGCTTCCGAAAGACTAAAGGTTAGGTCTAGACTTTTCTCTGATTTTGAGAGTTTTGGGTCAAGGGTTTGTTTGCGGTCTTGGGCTGGAAGCTTATAGGAGAAACTTCTCAGAATTATAATGCTAGCATGCCCTGCTCTATACGGGCGCTCCTTATGCCTCGAGCTCTGTTCGTAAAGCGCTGTAGCTTGGCAGCCAGGAATCCTCCGAAGGCCTCCTAAGCCCCACATCTAAACCGGTAGAACACTGAAAAGCACCGCTAAGTCCCTGATGTAAACCTCACAACCAATCCCACAAGCTCTGTAGAAGCCAAAGTCAGACATGAGTGTGCTGACGCCCCCCAAGGGAGAAAATGTCCAGACTTAGGTTGTAAGCAACGGCTCTTGCACGAAGCCTGAATCGAATGACAAGTATAAGTAAACCCTAAACCCTAAACCCTAAACCCTTAACCCTCAACCCTTCAGCCCCATACCCTAAGCCCCTAAACCCTAAACCCTAAACCCACAGTATAAGTCTACTCCAACCTCTTAAAACCCTCAGGGCTTCGACAGCCCAGGCCTGGTGTTCTTCGGGGCATACTCCTGGTCACTAAGGCAGCTATGGGTTTAGGGCTTAGGGCTTAGGGGTTTAGGGTTTAAGGGTTCAGGGTTTAATGGGTTAAGGGTTTAAGGGTTAAGGGATTAGGGTTTAAGGGTTTAGGCTACACTCTGCCGTGAATCCCAAGATCAAGATACGACCCTAAACATCCAGAGGCCGAGATATAAAACCCTTACGTAAAACCTTGAACAGCAGACCCGAAATCCGAATAAGGTTCATTGGGGCGGTGGGGTAGGGTTTCTTAGGGTGTAGGGTTTAGGGTTTAGGGTTTGGGGTTTAGGGTTTAGGGGTACCAAATTCGTTTTCCAATGAGCTTTCGAGAGATTTTCTGGACACATTTGCAGCTGGTTGAGGATCTCCAAACATAAACTCCTTCGTCAAACACTTAAAACTGAATCTCAAAACCTGCACCAACCACCAAGCCCTAATCCATGTTTGCTTTGTTCATGCTCCACAGGCGGGTTCAGGACCAGTCCTATGCTAGGCAGGATCGCGTCGCTAAGGATGTTCGTGGTTTTAGTAAGCTCCACAGTGTAGATCTTGGAAGTCTACGGGTTTTGGGTTCAGGCATTTTGGAACCAAGAAAATTCAATAAGGCGACACTACCTACTACTGAACATAAAGACCCCCTCAAGAAAAAACACCCTGAAGGCAGCAGCGGGCAGAGACTTGACAGATTCATTGCCCCCTAAAGCCTGCACAACCTCAATTCAAAAACCAGAAAACTGCTGTCCTTGTACAGGAAGCAGGACAGCTGCGAGTCGTCTTCTGGATTGTCATAGTTCGAACGCCTGAGCAAAGCTGCAGGCTTGCTTGTGACATCCCAGTTTTGACCCAACTGACCACTTGGGTTGTTACTTGTAGCAGAAATGCTTCAAAGCAGAGGAGTATTGCGGTTTCAAAGCTTACCTGGAAAAGACAACAGCACAAGCTTATATTGCCTGAAAGCCAAAAACCGATCTGTTCAGAGCTCCTCACGATGACTTCCTTATATAAGTCCTTAAGAGGTTAGGGCTTGTGGGGATCCAGGTAGGGCATGCACAGGGGTCTGGTTTCGAGATTCCCGCGTTTGGGGTTTCCCCACTTGGGACCCGGTCTTGCAAACGCAAGTCTTCCTACACACTCCGGGTACGACATGATGCAGCTTACTTGAACGTTGATCCGCAAAGTTCCAAAGCGCATGGTCAAAGCTGACCAATCTTGCGAATTGAATGCTTGGTCTGCAAGGGGTTCGGAGCTTCGGGTTCAAGAAGCTGAGGTCGGGACAGTGTGAAAGCATGACAATCGGTGCTGTCGCAGCTCGCTCGGCAAGACCTGGGCGCTTGATTTACAGGGATCGTCCATCTGAGAGATGCAGACAACAGGGCAGCCTTATATAGAATTAGAGCACACTCAATAATGGGATCCTGATCATAAGGACACCCACATCCATGTAACCCGGCTTGCTGAAACTCCCAAAGGATGTCTCCCGCAATGAGATCTTGGAAGGAGATTCTCTCGATGTCGTAGCGCGAAAGAAGTTGTTTAACCAGATTTAAGAGGGCTCTTCGTCTGTTTACTATGAATAGCGACTGCAGGAGAGTTCTATTCTGCATCTTGATGACAACTAGTGACACTGACACGGCTCTTCCGTGGCTTGATGAGATTTGGAGCTCTTCTTGTGCTAGCTCTCCTTTACGATCAAACAACTGGGGCCAGCGCTCAAACTACTAGTAAGAGCAAGCGAGCTCCCTTGTCAACATACCATGTCTTGATCCGGAAGGAATATGAGAGTTATGAGAGCAGGGACTGCGAGTGAGGGTCAATAGTTCGTCTTCAAGAGTCCGTACAGGAATCTCGTTTCTGATGCATGGGTATTGGTGTGCTGGTGCCTCTGGTGCCTGTTGGTGATGGTTGTGACGGTGGTGGCATCGGGTGTGGTTGCGGTGGTTGCGGTGGTGGTGGGGGCGGTGGTGGTGGTGGGAGTGAATGGGGGGGGTGTCGGGGTGGGGGGGTGGGGCGGCGGCGTGCGGTGGAGGTGGTAGGAGGCGGCGGGAGGCGTTGGTGACTGGGGGTGGTTGCTGTGGTCGTAGTCGCCGGTATTGCGCGCACTGCAACCTAAAAACACCCAAAACCTACCCCCAAGCTCTTTTAGGCTTAGGTCAGTTTGCAGTTGGGGGTTCTCAAATAGTTGCATCAGAAGTGCTCTGCGGCCACGTCCTTCGGGAACTGGTCGATGATATTGAACTTCCAGGAAAGGATGAGGCACTTGGAGCCATCCTTGGTCTCTCGGATCTATTTTTGGGGGGTCTTGGGGGATTTGCAGATTATATTCTCCGTCCGTTGGGTTATGCTTGGATCTAAAAATAGAAAAAACTAAACCCTAAACCCTAAACCCTACACCCTGCGCCCTAAACCCTGCGCCCTAAACCCTACGCCCTAAACCCTAAACCCTAAAGAGCTCTAGATCAGAGCTTTGGGATTTTATGGTGTCGGACTTCGGGATGAAGCTTCTCGGGGTGTGCTTTAACCCCCAAGTATCCTACCTTTTTAGGGCTGCTTCTTACGATTTCTTCACATAAGGGAGTTTCCGAAAATAGGGGACCCCAATATAGTACCCTAAATAGTAGGACCCTTATTATAAGGACCCCAAAATAAGGTACCCTAATTTTCGGAAACTCCCATAAACCCCTATAAACCCTTAAAAAGGTAAGTTGTTCAGGGTCCAGGCAGAGTGTAGGGTTCGTGACTTTCTTAGTCGGGCGCAGGCCCCACGCAAAATCTTTTGCAGCTGGCTGACGGGTTTAAGAGTCGGGTAAGGGTTAAGATTGCAAAGTTGCTTAAAGCATCATGGGTGAAGCAGCATAACCAATGTTCGTAGTCCAGACTCCAAAAGGAAGTGCACTTCAGCCAGACCCCACAACATTCATCCAAAGCCAGACGTCACTACCAAATGAGGAAGAGAAGTTGCGAAACGAACTCCGTCGAAGCTGCGCAGTGCACCCATCTAGACGAAAACGGGATGTTGCAATACCCTTCGAATCCTAAATCCCAAAGGCCTAAGAAAATACCCCTACCGGAAGACTTGAGGCTGAAGTAGTAGAAAAGCCGACACTTGATCTGGGAATTTCAGAAAACAAGCAAGCCCCTGCTAGAGAGCCTACCTGGACCCTGAAGAACCTGTCCTTTTACCGCTCCTTCGTAATTATCATTGTCTTCTAGAAGTCCTAAACAAGGTAGGATATTGGGGGATAAGGTAGAACCTAGATCGTGGGACCCGCTTTACTCTGAGGACGCCGAAAAGCGGACATCTGCCAGTGGTAACCAACTCTTCTTACACAACAACGACTCGTGGTCGACAACCCCACCCAATACACCTGTTCTACATCGATCTCAGATAATAGCACCACCAAATGCTGATCCCTGAACCGGCTCAGCCCTGCCGGAAGATACTATAGGAGCCTCGTAATCATTGGAATATAGTTTTGGTGTGTATTCTAGTTGAGCTAACCGGTGCTATAAGTGCAAAGCATTAGTTGCTAGAAATGATTTAACCTGTATTTCAGTTCTTCTGAGCTTCTTCGCACGGCATGCCCACGTAGTGATCCTGACACAGGCAGAAATTGTCTGACACGTATGACCCTACGCCTTCGGACACACATGGCCTCTTGACGTTATAAGGACCAATTTCACACAATCGCAAACCCTTGCCTATAGTCTCCATTGTAGTTCCTTTTTTCGGTTTAACCAAGTATATATTAAGGATTTTATGAAGTATCCCCCAAAAGAGACTACAATGGAGACTATAGGTAACCCATGGCTGCATCCTGAAGTCCCTTCTGGTGTACTGGTTCCCAGCGTTCAGGGGTATACCTAGATCCCAAACCTAAAGCGATTCAGGGTTCGGGACTTGGGGCTAAGGGCTCAGGGGAAACAACTCGAAAACGTGTGGACTTGGGTATTTCAAGGCCTCAGTGGCGTCGGGATGTAAGATGTTTGAAACTAATACAGTTAAACACCATAGACTCCGTAGACACCGTAGCAGAACTCAGAACCTCAAGTCAGACTTCAGGCCGTGAAGGGTTTGGAGTTCAGGGGTTTCAGGGTTCAGGGTACCAAAGGGTCGGATTTTGGCCTTCAGGGGTCCAGGGTTCGGGGTGCAGGGTTTTGCCAGTCTCTGTTTTGGGTTTAGGGTTTAGGGTTCGGTGCGACAGGTCATGGTCCAGGGGTTTAGTCCAGATCCCTAAACCCTAAACCCTAAACCCTAAACATCGCTTGATTCAGGCATCGTGATTTGCAGACGCAGCCCAACAGTCGGAACACCAAACCCGAAGTCGCAAATCAGCCTTAATCATTAGAATAGGGCTTTCGGGTATAGTATGGTACAATTATCATAAGAACCCCCCCCCTCAAAAAAAAAATAGTAGTATTGGTACTTATTTAGGCCCTGTTTCTTACCTTGGGCCTGAATATATGGGATAGGGTTTGGGAGTCGATTAAAGTACACAAGTAAACAAGAAGCCTAATAGCTGATGTAGGATTTATTCAGGCTTCTGTATTAACCCCACCAGGTCAACCCCTGCCACTTTGGATTTCAGGACGTAGGGGTGGGTGGGGGGGTCCCGCTACTGCCGGGTGCAGATATAGACATATGCATATTTGTACACATATATAAAGAGATACATATATATATATATATATCTTATATACATCATTCTCTCTGTGTCTTCTAAACCTGTTAGGACATGCATAGGTACAACTGTACACAGGTAGACAGATAGGTCTATACGTGTTTACCTCTACGTATGTATGTATGTATGTATGTATGTATGTATGTATGTATGTATGTATGTATCTATGTATGTATGTATGTATGTATGTATGTATGTATGTATGTATGTATGTATACATACATAAAATATATATATATATATATATATGTATATATATGTATATATATGTATATACACATACATATCCATATAGCTGTACGAATATGTATCATGTGCTTTGTGTAAATACATGCAAATACATTCATTCGTACATACATACATGCATACGTACATGCATACATCTACTATATACATATGTATGTATATATATATATATATGTATATCCGCCTAAATAGTTTGAGACATATACACATGTGTAAAAACAATCTAGGGCTTGGGACTGTAGCATGTCTGGTGTAGGAGTGTTGAGGAGTGTTGACAAAGGAAGGCATCCGGAAACACTCAGATGATCAACATACAGGAACAACGAAGCAATCTTACTAGAACAACAATTTATGAACCATTCTGAACCCTAGACCCTATACCCTAAAACCCTAAACCCTACCCGCATGGCAGCAGCTAGGGTCCCCAAAAGAAGCTCTTGCCTGGTGCTTGAAGATCCGATACTCGCCTGAAGATGTTGCGCGGGAAGAGGCTTGGGCGAACTAGGCGTACTAGAGGCATTAGGGGTTATATATAGGGGCCTTCATAATTAGAATAGGGTTTGGGTCCAATTATACCATAATTATAATAAGCATCAGGCCACCAAAATAGTATAGGTAACCTTGGGGTCCCTACATTACGAGGGGTATTGTCGGTACTTGGGGTACTTACCAGGGGGTGTCGATCTGGGGGACCTCAGGCCTTAAGGGGATCTTTGCTCCAAAGTCTAGAGTTTTCGGGTTTAGGGTTTGGGGTTAAGGGTTTAGGGGTTTCGGGTTTAGGGGATGTTCGGGGCTGTAGTCTAGGAGTTGCTTCAACATAAGGCCTTGTCTGCTGGTTCTTACTCCTCTGCATGCCAGCGCTTCCGATTGATGTAGCTCTCAAGGCTTGGGCTTGCTTAGCTCGGGGCTTAGGATGTGGATCTTTGGCATGCGTGTGTAAAGAAGCTTGACTTCAACGAACTAGTGCTTTGCAATTCTAAGTTAGCCATTCAAGGGTTTGAGTTCAACCTTTGTTTGGGGTTTGGGGCACATGGATGGTTCAGGTACTAGTAGGCACGGGTTTGGATGCCTCCCTCATTCAGTAATCAGCTGGTCGTTTGTAGGCCTGGGAGATGTCATCATGTCCACCCTGAACAGTAAAGACTGAGGCACCTGAATTGAAGTTTTGATCTTGATCGTTCTGACCATGCATTGAACTCGGTACGGCTTACCACCACCTGCAGAGACGGGTAAAGTCATCTTCCGTCCGAAAGAAGATCTCTATACACGAGCATCAAAAATCTTCAGGTCCTGTTCGATTAAGGCTCAGGGGCCTTATGCTCACAGACGGTTTAGGATTTCGGTTTAGGGACGGTTTAGGGCTGAGGGTAGTGCAATCCATGACCGGACGTGACGTAATTTTCACACTCTTAAAAGTGCAGGTCTGCAGTAGTTTGAACATCAACAATGATAGGAAGACTGTAAAAGCAAGTTGTGTGTAGGGCAGCGATAAATGAAAACACGTCTTGCCCCAGCTATGATTGAATTACTAAGTCTCTTGCCCCCTTTTCCTTTAAGCAATACCGAGGCCTTAATTGTTAGAATGAGGTTCTGTGGCAGATTAATTACGGAGTATCCAGACTCCTATTTTAGGATCCCGGCCCCGAACCAAAATCATCATGCTCTTGATGCGCGCTATCCCGCATTACCTTCATTGCAGTATCCGAGCTGATTGTACATCTCTCTTCACCTGAACCCTAATACCCAAAACCCTAAAACCCTAATCTCGTTATGGGAATGAGCGGTATAGGCCGGGGATAGGGATCTGAATCCTTCGACTGGGGCTCTAGCATACACTGTGCTGGTGCATACTCAACACAGGACTCTCCGAGAAGCATTTATCAAGAGCGCTGGTTGAAACGCCCTGCGGGGATTCAATTCCCGGCGACACGCTTCGCCCAAACGTGAACCGGATCTTGTCAGCCGCTTTACTATAGGGGCCTCAGTAATTAGAATAGGGTTTTGGGGTATATGATACTAGAAGTATAATAAGGAACCGAAAACAGTATAGGTATTTATTTAGGCCCCTATATTACCCCCTCCCCCACGAGGCTCCATGGGATTCAGCCAAACTGCGTTCGGCGCTCTCCAAGTCCTCGCATGAGGTGGAGCGCCTACAGCACGGATCCCTGGGCCGTCAGCAGAGCTGCGAGGGTTAAGGGCGCATGGAAGGGGTCCAATAGGTCCCAAAAGTCCGAAGAGGCCTCTGCAAGGTTTCTACATGCAAGAGGTCTCTACGGTTTAGGGTCGTGCCCTCGGGCTTAGTTTAGCTGCTTAGCTTTCTTCTTCGTAAGTCTGGGGTCTCGGAGCTTGCAGGATTTAGGTTTTTGTTGTTTTTTTCTTTTTTTTCTCTGGTTTTTCGTGACTTTCTCACGATTAGGCTCCAATGTTGACGTAAGGCTTGGGAAGTTTTCCAGGCTTGGGTTCCGGAAGCTCTTGATCCTAAGCCGCAAACCTTCGACCACTAGAAGCCGCACATTCGTAGGATATCCAAGCTTGCTCTTTTCGTTTCTGTCGGTTCAAGCATCATCTTTTGATGCAAAGGGCACATGATGGTTTTGGGTTTACAAGCCCATGCCCTGTCTCAATTTGCTGATAAGCATCTTCCTCCCACTGATGTCAATGCTGCAGAACCTGGCGAGAGGCACTGGAGAACCCTATAATGTAGGGGCAGAATAAACGAGAATAGGGTTTCGGGATTGAGTAGTTCATAATTATATTTAGGGTTTAGGGTTTATATACTATGAAGGAATGCTACAGTAAGGAATAGAATTGGTAAGCATTCAGGCCGCTACATGATCTGTGAACTCTGGCGCTGAAACCCTGACGACTCTCGGAGACCCGAACTCTGAAAACACGGAACAACCGCGATGTTGCCACTGGCTCCATGAACAATTTTGGATATTAACATCAGGGCCTTAGTACTTTGTGGGTATACTGTTAGTAATTTCAAGTAAAAACCCTATGTCATGTTCAGGCTTCTTTCTGAACGTATCCTGGCTCATACGCGGTACCTTTCCTCTACTCCTTTGTGGGGCGTCTCATGGATTGCTACCCTGGACCCTAAACCTTAAAACCCCCAACCCCCACGCTTTGCGGTGTGTTTCCGGGGAACTCCCAGAGAAGGAAAGAGCTTCAGCACGAACAGGGGCCCTCCAAAGGATTCCTTTTGAGGGGGCTCTATAAGGGTGTACCATAGTACAGGAGCCTGAACTATCGGAAGAGTGCGCTGGTGTATCTTAGGATAATCATGCAGGAACGACAAGCGGAAAATATTGGTTGGGGGCCGGGTCCGTCCTGAGTCTGTGTGTGTATATATACATATATA